AGATATTCAAGTTTTCAAACTTACAAATAAAAACGGCAAACTTTGGGATTTATTCGCCTTTGCCAAATGTTCTCCTTTTCTAAAAGTTGAGTAAAGCCACATGAGAGCGATGAACAATCGTTTGGCTTCACCGTCCATATCTCATAGGGAAATTTTCCTCTTCTTCATATGTTACAGATTATGCTCCAAATTAAGCTGTCAAGGATCTGTTAAAGTGAACAAACCACTGCTACAGTAGGTTAGCAGGAGTATTACAAGCATTGTACCGCTAATAATTCACAGCTTTTCTCCAACATTTATGGAAAAATTGCTAAAAGAAAAAAAAACACACAAAAAAAGATCTCAGGCAAACCAGGTTTTTTTTTAGTCTAAAAATCTACAGGATAGACATCAACATGCCACTTTATTAGACACAGGGTCCCGAATCCTCTTTTGAGTAGAATATTGTACATTTTACCAAGTAATAGTTCTATTTTGTGTTAATTCAGAGTAAATCATGAAGTCAGAGCTTTAGCAGCTCAATTATACTAATGCATTATGTACATTTCTGTCAATTATAAATTGAAAGAAGGACAAGAAAGCCTTAAAAAACATCTGTAGACTCTCACAGTAACCAGAGCACAGCTTACCTTTGCCCCAGCAAAATGTTATTAGAGCTGCTGCAGCCGACCTGTGATGTGAAACCAGTCTGCCCAGTCTTCTCTAACCTCCCATATCAACAAGGCGTTCTTATCAATCCCACTACAGCTAATTTCTCTGTTTTCTATTAAGCTGAGAGATGGATGTGTGGGAAAATCCCGGTAGATCCATAGACTGTTTGGCACCAGAAACCAAACGGTTTTCTTTTTCTCATTTTTAGCATGACATCTACGATTTCTAAATTAGGTTAGGCAGTTAGAACTAGTGTTCTTAATATATTTAAGGGTTATGGTGCATCACTAATTGATTGTAAAAATGTACTTTAATGATTTAGAGGACTGATTGTCTTATGTCACAAGAAGCTGTCGCTTTAAAATTGTCTTCAGTTTTAGAAAAACACCCTTTTCATCCACTCATGGAAAATTCTTTACTTACCTCTTTTTTTGGCTATTTTTGATTCATAAATCATCCGAAAAAAAGAAGCCTGCTGACATTCGACCTGTAATCAGGAAGATCAGTCACTAAGGTAGAAGAGAAGGTACTTTTTTGGAATGACTATGACCTGGATGACTGAAAATCTTCACTAAGAGAAGGTATTGATGAGGATCAGTGAACTTTAAAGCCATGCAGCCCTACATGGGAGGGTCAGAGGTCATCATGAGCTCCGACACCTTTAATCAGCCTGGTTTAGTGCTCAGTCCCCCAGAAAACGCGACAAAGGAAGAATTAATTTAGCTACCCGCTGAAGCTCTGTTTCAGATGTAGGAGCACTATTTTCTCCGCAAGTCTCACATTTATGTTGCTGACACTGTTGTTATGGAAGAATCTGCTCCTTACCGAGATGTTTTGTTTGTCATGTGGCTGCTTCGCCCCGAATATCACCCTCCCTGCATCACAGAAGATGAGAAAGGAAGAAAATGATGAGATGCTAAAAGGACGGAAGCGTTAAAGGGAAGCCACGAAAGAACGAGCAGATATTAAAGAGAGATGCTGCAGAGAAGATGGAGAAACAAATGGAGCATAAAGGGGAGAGAGAAACACATGTGTGCTAATGGGAACTAAAGAGTGAGGTGAAATGAAGAGAGATGAAGGATCCTGGGGTTTTGGGGTGGCCATGAAAGGAGCTGAGGACCCAGGTGTTCCCCTTCCTGAAGCCTGCTGTACCTCCTTCCCTCTTTGTGCCTCTCCTGGTGGCCTTCACCATTTAATCTGGATTAATGAGTAGCTTGACCTTCGCCTCTTTCTCTCTCGCTCTTTCCACTTCTGCTCCCTCTGCTTCATTTCAGAGCTATCCAAGGAGCGATTTATCATCCACATCTGTTTCCGTTCCGTCATATCTTCATTTCAAATTAAAACTTTTTCTACTTTGGGTTTTATTCTTTATTTCAACACCCGGGTACTGCATGTGTGCCTGCTGACAGACAGAGCAGTGCTGTTAACCGTTGGGACCACCTGTGAGTCGCGTCCAGCCTCTCTCCGTATGGGTGGCCAGGTCTCTGCTGACACACTACACAGACATGCAGGAGTACACGTCGCCTCGCCCCAAGAATATCCTCTGGGGAGAGTCTTGTGAGGCACGAATGCAGACACACGCTCCTAACCGATATGTGTGCAGCCTAAACTGTGGTGAGTGACTCATTCTAATTGGCCAGTCAACAGGTGCTGAGCTCGACTCCAGGGACCGGACGGAGGAGACGTAGGGATACAATTACAGAACAAGGGGAGAAGCTAAGCTCAAGGCTTCTGTATAATAACTACAGTAGGAGCCATTGTTAAAAGCAGAGTACACAACTAAATCTGAAGGGTTTCCTGTTTGCACGGGTGATATCAGCCTAAGATTTTATCTGGATATCATTTAGCATTTGGTAAAAAGATGTTATTTTTTTTATTTAAGCCAACACATTGATATAATAGTAGTAAAATGTGAAATTATTGCATTTAGTTAGGGTTTGGAAACCTACTGTAGAAACTATCTTGACGATACTCTCATTGAACCAATATTGGGGGAAATATGTCAAGAACTTTCTTCTAAAGCTGAGGCTCATTAAGGTTTGTAGTCTTGATCATTTCTCTACAGAGTTGAACTTGCTGCAAGAAAACAAAATTGTTTTAGAATATGCTTCTAAAAGACTGAAAGGGGTTCAAAGTTGCTCCATAGTCTGGAGACACTCTGTCTGTCGGCTGGCCTTGGAACGCCTCAGGCTTCCCCCAGAGCTGGAGGAGGAGAGGGAATTCTGGGAGTCTCTGCTGAGACTGCTGCCCAAGAAATGCTGTCCCAGATAAAACAAAAGATGATGAGTACTGAAAGATATTTCTATAATACATTTCAGAGACTGGCCTGTTCTTTTGAGATAGAAATAAAAGCCAATTGCTTGTTAGAAGAGAGATCACCTGGTCCCCTGGAGGCAGATTTGTGCATTCAGGGATGTAAACGTACTCCATGAGACTTTATTGAAGTTCAGAAAACTTGTGTTAACTTCTACATAATTGCTTTTATGTTTGCTACAGGTTAACAACATATATTTATGGACAACAATCTCTGAGGTTAATGGAAGATGTTTTCTAAAGGATAGTGTATTACATGAGCAGAAGCCATGTTGATGAAAACGTCAGGTTGAAGTCAGAGGAGAAAGGAGACTGTAACAGGAGCTCATGTAAACTTAGTAAAACCAGGGAAGGCAGAAAGTCATCTCTGTACTGACAAAACATTAAAGGAAAGGGTTGAACTCTTCTCTCAGTTAAAACAAGGATTGCAAAACTGAACATAGCAGAGAATCAGAGACTAATCACCCCCTGTCTCATTCTCTGCTACCCTTTTTGTTTACTGTTACTAACTCAGACCTGTTTACTGCAGATCAACGGTTACCTGAAACCGATCCCATATTTACTACCTGCTTGCTTCTGATTCCAGCTGTTCTGAATCACAACACATATTAATAAATATCTACATAAGCACTGCTTTAGAAAGCTAGCATTAGATAGGGTTAGCTTTCCATCACATGCCTGCCATGCAGTATCAACTGATACTCCTCCACTTATCTATTGATCTTTGCCTCCCCTCCTTCTCTGGCTCTACAAATCACATCAATCTGGGCCCATGGGGCTTCCTTACTACATAGTACTCAATTATAAAGTCAAAATAAATCAAAGTGTGTTAAATTGCCTGAACAGAATAGATCAGGCACTAATGGTAGAGCAGAATCTTTCAGCTACAGAATTTGGCATCAGTCTTGGACCATCCTGCCGTGCGTTAACGGCCAGACTGGTGGTGGTGATGTAACGCTGTGGATATTATCTTGGCTCACTTTGGTTCCTGGTTACAATTAAGCCTCATTTAAAACAAGTAGGAGGTGTTTTAATCATATCTGATGCCCCATCTGATTTCCTAACAGTTGGCTTTTTTTTTCAATTACAATTCCAATTTACAATTCCAGCCTTTAAGAACCTCCCCCAAAAATAAGGGAGAGATAGTAGAGTTTAGTGTCTCACTGGCTACAAAAATAACAGAGAAAATTCAATCCTACTATCCCTGCTTTTCACATTAGAAGGTCCAGGTTATCATGGTGGGTCTCACTTGGAGCAGAGGAAAGCATTAAGTTATTCAGATGGATTTTTTTCATTAAGGTTTTCTAGTTTCCAGCCAACAAACACCACAACAATCTCTGGCAGCATCAGAAACGCATGGATCCAAATGGCTTTTAAAGCCTGCAGCTACTCTACATGAAAAACTTTAAGCTTCACTTTATAAGAGCACGTGTTTATCACTCAGCCGTGGAAAGTTAGCATAAGATGGAAAACATTTGAGCCAGAATGAAAGGTGAGATACCTTTCCTCTTCCTCTCCTGCTTCTCTCCTCCTCTCCCAGCCCGGCCTGGAAGCCCCCCGTGTCGCCTTACCCAGGGGTTTAGCCCCTAATCACCCACAGCTAGTGGGCAGGGAACTGGAGCTTCCAGCTGGCTGCTTATTACTGCAAACCCCTGGGACACACACATTCCTCCACACACACACTGCCTCATATATGCTTACCAAGGAATTTGCTGTTATCTCTTGGCATCTCTCCATCCACGTCCCCCTGACAACTCGATCCTGCCAAGGCCAAAGCCTCCCTACATAAACTGAATAACAGGAGGAAGCAGACTCAAGGAGAGCTGTCCTCCACTCCAAACCAGTTCAAACTAGTACCAGTAATGGTCATCATGAGTTTATGTGCAGGTGATCCTCAATAATCTCGATTGAAAAGTTAATTCATGTTTATAAACAAAGTTTCACTTAATTCTGGTGTTAGCTTAAAGCTAGTGACGCATTAACTTCTAATAAATTGCCAGTATGTTAAATGGATACACGCCACTTTTGTCTTTCAGGAGAGATCCGTATGATTATCCCACCCACTCCAGGCCAGTTCTCAGGGAGCCGGTCCCCTACTCCAGCCACCACCAGGACCCTCCGGTTTCTGGCCGTTTGCCACTCCCTCAGGCGTCCAACCAATCCCAGCAGCAACCCGCTAATCAGCGCTACTATCCCTCGGCGCAGCAACACCGTGCAGCCATGAGACAGGATGTCCCACCCTCTCCCACCGCAGGCAGCAGAGGCCGGCAGTACTATGAGCCCACAGCGGGGAGAGGAGACGGCTACCGGCAGGCTAGCCCAGACAGGTACCCTACGGCAAAGGATCGCTACGCCGGCGCCGATGGCTACCGTTACGGAGAAGAAAGACAGCCTGAGCCGAGGCGGAAGGACCCCATGATAGGTGCTGTGTAAGATGAAGTCAAAAATGACTGGTTTTTGCAAAGAGATATATTTAAATGTACATAAATCTAAACGCATATATGTTTATATTGTTTTGGTGGAAATATAATAATAATATTCCAGTATTGCCTAGATTTTAGAGACCAGTTTTATAATAAAGATTGAAATGAGTTTAAATCGCACAAATATTTTCCAGTGAATTTGGAGCCAAATAGATGTATATGAAGTATACTCCAGCACTGAAAGCACTATATTTTGTCCAGCCGGATCAAAGTGAAGGTAATGCAGAAAGATCACCTTAAACCGGCCTGATTATACAGCAGAAAAACAGGAAGCCGACAAACAGGAACAGGAACTAACCCCTCCCCTTTTTTTGTCTTTTAGTCCTTGATATTTTGCCACTTTAACTTCCTTTATTTCCTGGTAACCTGCTGTTTTGTTTTTTTTCTTTTGTCTTTTTTGCCTTTGATTATGTGGATGTGGCTCAGTCATGTACTGTTTGTTGAAATGAATTTAATTGTAATATTTTGGTGGTTTTTGTAATAAAGTAAATAAATCTTATAAGCGACGTCACCAGTAATGAATTCAGCTTAATCTTTTCCTCTTAACCATATCTCACCTGAAACTAGTTTCACTGATAAATGTGACATAATTTGATACGTTTCTTTTCTACAAAAGATTTGCAATAAACATTTTTGAGCTTCTCATCCTCTTTTCATTCTCTTCCCGTTTCATCAGGATATGAATATTTGAAACATGATGTCAAACTGCGCCATGAGTCATCACTTTTTTAAAAAATTCATTACGACGTTAAGCTGAATTTTCTGTGAGCTCAATCTCCAGATAAATGTAGCCCGTGAGATGACTGATAAGAGTAGCCGGCCTCCTGATAATGACTGAATCGTCTCCAACAATTAGAGGCAGGGAAATCTCCACTAGAAAAATGATTAATACCCAATTTGCTCTCTGTAAGTAAAGATGGCCGTGATTGGTGAAATTAGACTTGATATGGCGGCATAATTGTGTGTGGAGAGGGCTTTTTCTGTCTGTTAATGTTTAATTAGCAGCAGCGCCAGAGGCGGGGGAGGCATATGCCGAGGGGTCGGTCTCTGCGTCGGTTTGACCTTCCTCCGTCAAACTAAGAGGCAAACTTTAAATCAGCTACATTATTTAGGACTAAACTGCCTGCCTCATCCACCAATAAACAAATACTTATTGTTACAGACCTCTGTTTGTATCTAGCCATTGGAAACAATGATACAATGCTTTTCATGCACCAATATAGACAGAAGCTCTGTAAACAAAAGGAAAAGGCAACTGTCTGCTCATCATCCTGTGATGACAAAACCAGAGGAAATATCCTGCTGTCATTCAGATTCTGAGAATAAAACCAAACCTCTGTGTATATGTATTTATATCCTCTATAAACATTGCGGCCCGTTGTAAAGATATGGAAGAAAACCTTACAATAAATCGATCTCTTGTTGCATTGGTCTTATCTCATAAATAAAAACTATTTAAAAAATCTAATCTATGATCGTCTGCTAATCTGAGATTAGCTACAATAGGCAGCGCTTATAAACAACCCTTTGAATCAACCACTGCTCCTTGAACCAGAGGAGGTAATCCGCCTTTTTCCAGTTCAGAACCATCTCCTTCATTTAAAAAAGCTGACTTTGATCCTGTGCTGAAGGTAATCACTTGAACACCACACGCCATCCACAAAAAGCTAAACCAATCTTAAAGGAACCTGAAACTAACAGTAATCCTGCAACAAACCTCAATAAGTACTGAGGCTTGGAATCCGAACTCTTGGGTGAAGATAATGATCAATATTTATGATTTTATCCCACTTATATCTGCACAAAAAAACAAAGATTTTAACACCTTTATAAAGACTTTATTGGTCAATCAGGATCTGAAGTTGCTTTACAGCCTCAGATGTGAGCCTTTCACCTGTAATAGTCAAACAATAACTGAAATAATACTTTTTTCTTTAACCCTGCTGATCAGAAATGAAGATGAACTTTTACTACCTCCCTCATTTATTTAACTTAACCAGCAACGCTCTATGCTCCAGGAATAGCAGGCAAGATAAAACAGTTTGTTCTTGTTCATGTAAAATCTATTATATGTAATTCCAAACAAAGGCAAAAATGCGATGGTTAATTATGTGTTGGTGTTTTACCAGATAAAACCCTATTACAGTAAATCATTTCTGCCAAGGTGTAATTAAGGAAACACAAAATTGAAGCTTCCTGTTTGATTCTCAGCAGGGTCCTTATTGTGTAGTTAATCTCCATGCATGAGCTTCTTTTTAACAGGTTCTCAGGTATTTTTCTTTTAATTTGTTTTTTTTCCTAGTTTTAAAAAAGGCTGATAGATATTCATTTATTTTATTTTGAAAGAGACACAGATACTCTATTCCAACCTAATAACTGGTTTTGCATTGGACTTAAAACAACCCAAAAAATTAAATTTTGTTATATTTTTATTAGTTTTCTTTTTTAGGTATGTAAAGGTGGATTTGCTGGATCAAACATTTTTCTGTCAAAATAAAAAAATGCAGAAAAATTCTCAGATGCTGTTCTCTTTAACACCAGATATAACAGGATGCACAGCTTCTGAAAAAGTTCCCATTCTATCTCAACATTGCGTTTTTTTTTTAATCAATGTTTTTTGCCATGGGTGCCATTTAAAAAAAAATGTTGAATCTTTAACATAAATCCTCACTAAGCAAAGTGAGGCCTGCATTGGTTTGGGTGTCAATGTGAATCAAACAAAACGTTGCAAATTCATGATTTCATATATAAAAATGACAGAAATTTTTATCTAAATACTATACAAAGTTGATACCATGTAGTCTTATAAGGTTTCCATGCTATTTAGACATTAAATGGCCCCGCAGCATCACAGATACTCCCCTTACCTAACAATGCACGCCTCATTTGAGTGTTTCAATGCAAAAGGTTCAGTTAACTTTAGCTAAAATAAAAATACATATATTTTAAGCCAGAGTTTCAGGTTTTAATTAAAAGCAGTTCTTCATTACTGCTATAATTAAGGTGTTAAAACTCATGTTCCTAGAGCCCAGCAGTAAATAGTGCTTCAGTCTCTATAAGGTACTTCGTGCTGAGGCCAACGCAACTTGGAGCACTTAATCCTTTCTTCTCTGGCTCTTCACTGTACTTAAAGGACCAACTCTGCTGTAAACAGCCTCCTTCAAGAGCTTGTGGTGTATTTGCTGCCTAAGATAATAAACAACAGCAACTTAATATAGAAGAATTAATTGCACTTAACGTCCATTAAAGAAAAGCTTTGACCTCAGTGCCAGAACTGCTGGGCTGCAGCCGCCATCCCACTAAAACCACTCCTCCATCTGAACGTTTAGCTAAATTTAGAGGCCTGCAGCTCAGGTGGATCATGATGTGAGCATGTTTTGCTTTAATTTGACCAAAAGGTGAAGGGATGATGGGTGAAGCTAAACCTTCCAGCTGAAGAACCAGCCTAAGCAGAAGAAATCAGTTGTTTCAAAGAGAGGCTTCAGTCTGATGGGTCAAGGATGCTGATTTGCTGACTGATTATTCTCACGCTTCCTCTCCTCCTGCATCCACGACCTTTGATTTTTAGAAAGAGCAGGAAGCCCCCTTAATATTGGTTTATCTGCTCTCTGCAGCAGTCTTCCTTTAGTCAAAGTTCTCCTGTGTCACTCTTAACTCTGGATGCTGCATGAATTAATTTGACACCTGGTAACATAAGCCTTCGTTTTTCTGAGCTCTTCTCCCCCGGTCGGTTGTCAGGATTGGTAGCTTGTGGGAGAATTCCCCGGCTGGGTTCTCGGAGCATTATCCATTCTACCAGCACCCGTGTTCAACACCTTAGCTTGTTAGCATGTGTCAATCAAAAAGCCATGCTCCTGCGAGGGCAAAGTGGAAAAGCCGAAGCAGTTATGCGCTTCCTGCACGGCTCCCTAAAAAGACTTGCTCGGGTGTATACCGCCCGCTTTGACCTGGGTCTGCTCTCCCCACTTTTATCCCAGCCTCTTCATTAAAGGCACATTCCCGCTGTATTACCCCGCTGTCCTTTTGTCCTTCACCTGCTGCCGTTTGTTTCAATTCAGCCCTCATTAGGACAGCGTGGTCTGAAGCTTGGTCAGAGCAGGATGAGCAGAGATCTTTATTTAATTATGCAGTTCATTAGGAAGCAGGTCCACTTCTCTTTTTTCCTATCTGAAGGAGGCCATGGGAGTTAGCTGGTGGCTAATGTGGAGTTCAAATGGCCTGAATATGGAGATTAGCCCAAATATGGATTACCATTAGCTGTTAGCCTGCCCTTCACCCACCTCAATCTCGTTTATGTCTGCTGTGTAGCCTTTTGATACAGTATCACTCAAGCTGGAGTGTGCGCTTTCAGCCAGTGTGTTTGTTTTATATTGTTCATGGACTGTGAAATTGAATTTCCACACTCGGGCTGATATTGGAAATAATTTCATATCCTCTGCAATTTTCTTGCTCGGTTTCACCTTGCGGCGTGTTTAAAACATCCACTTTGACTCTGTGTCTCTTCTTCTCTCCCTCTGCTGCCGAGTTGATACAACAGATGTGTTAATTCGGTCCGTATTTATCCTTATGGTGGTGGGGACAGACAGCCTCGATTCGCCGTCTGTCCCCACACAACGCAACCTGAGCTGGCCATTGCCATGACAACTCGGTTGTCGCTTCCTGGCACAACAATCGTGGCAACGGTGTGATGTACACATGTCCCACTATTGGAAATGTTCTGTGTTTTTATTGTTTGTGCCAACAACGGGAGTAACTGCTGAAAGTTAAGCCATGCAGCCATATTTTCCAGACTGTAGAGCGCACCAGGCTATAAGCCGATTACATCTACTGAACTTTCCCCTACCATCCTGAAGGGGGAGCTCTACATATCAGAAAAAAGAATGCTAGCTCCCATTAGCCTATTGGCTCACAACAGTAAGAGCTTCTGATGAAAGATCGGGCTTTGCCAGCTCTTTAATGCAGCTCTGCAGGAGTTGCGCACAGTCTCTTCATTGGTTTGAAAGCTTTAATGCAGCAAATAAATGTCACAATGTGTGAATTCAGGACATCTATGCTGCTTGCATGAGCTAAATTAAAATGAGCCCCTTTGACTTACAACTTTGGGTGTGTCCAAATGTCCGCCCTAATCACTAAATCCCTTTAACAGCCTGGTCAACCAAACGGTTGATCATCTTCATGGGCTGGACTTGGACAAGGAGTTAAAGGGATATAGGGCACTATATGGTGGTTATTCCATTTTAGATGAGTGTCCGAACGTCTAATGGATTAAAAAGTAGTGGACACAAGATGTCCCACAATGCACCTTAAAAAATATTGATCATCCATGGTCAGGTCCAGATGAACAGCTATATCCCGGAATGCTTTCCGAGGAGAGTTCTCCTCGGAAAGGATCATGGGATTTGTTGCCACGACGGCCTGCTGTCGCCTATGGCTGTCACTACCCAGTGGTCACGTGACCAACGAGGAGCAAAAAATATTGATCATCTGTCAGAATGGTCAGTTAATTGAGTTCACTATA